CTAAAACACATACAAATATATCTGAAAATACATAAACATCTGTTCTATACTCAGCTGATAGCTAGCAATCAGTGCAAAAATCTGGCAGATTTGAGGAGAAGAGCCAGGAAAGCTGATACAGATTCAATCAAGCGCTTCATCAATTGCTAGGATGCCATCCCTACCTGAGAAGAGCCATGCTGGGTCAATAATTTAAATCCAAAAGATGACCATGAAGAAATTCCCCAGTTATTCTTTCATATAGATGTATCCTTGATGAAGGTCATACTACTGACCTCTGTAAATCTGAGTGTGAAAGTAATGAAAAAATCAAAACTGTGGGGAAAGTGTCGGTTGTTTAATAAGTTGTCATTTCTCCATGTATAATGATTCACAAACAACTGATGAAAAACCTTTGAGCAAACTTGGGGGGGTCTGCTCCAACCAGACCAGCTCAGGCATCACTATCCCAAAGGGCACATATGACTGCAGTAGACTGTGGAGAAGAAAATACAGACATGGCTTTGTACAGTGAGGTCTTTATACAAAGCTCTGCCACTGGCTTTGTCCTCAAACCCACTCATCTATTCTGGTCTGACACAACAGCCCATTGTCCTGGTAGTCTCGTATATTGGGTTGCTGACTGCAGGTATCACTCTTGATCCTCTGACCACAGACCTGCTTGTAAAGCAGCTTCCGTTGTCCGCTAGGTCCTAAAAGGCTCACAGCTGGGCAATTCAATAATAATCTGTTACCTGCTGCCGTTCTTCAGCCCCCTTCAGAGCCCCCTTCAGGCATGACTGTGTCTTCCTCTCCTGCTTTGTACCTTGTAGGTTACTGCAGATTGTCTCATCTTGCAGACTTCCTTTGCTTGTATATTCTCAATTGCTTTTTGTGCAAAATAACTTGATGTTGATGACACATCTGGGAACATTGTGCTGTTTCACACTGGACATTCCTTCACATTTCATTTTTCTTGGAATGTCTGGTAATGTTTTCTGGTCTCTGATGAATTTTATGCAAAGACTAGTACCAGTGTAATGGATTTCTTGAGAGCAGAGGCAGATATGGTCATCCCGTCTGTGCACTGATTATATTACAATCACCATTTCCCACTTCAGAACACACTGCCTTCTATAGAGTTCAATTCTTCTCTGAAAGAAAAGGCTTCCTGCTCTTAGGGGTAGAGCATTTCCTAGGTACTATGACACAGAACGGGACACAAGGTAAGTAATCTTACTACTGTACTGTTTGGTGCCTTTATTTTTGGTAATAGACGGTGTCCAGGTTTTCATTTTAAGAATTTATGTGCAAGCTGTACTTCAAAGTGACAGATGAACCTTGGCAATCACATCTCATGATGTAAAACTGTGTTCAACATCAGTGTTGAGGCAGATGTAGATGCATGGAGTAACGAGTTACATTCTTTTCCAAGGCTCTCTAGTAAATCCATACCTTATTTTTTCAATACAGTTACTATTTCAAATCATATCTAAGAGGATATTACTACTTCACAAACTTTAAAAAGAAAAATATTAAAGGACTCAATCTGTCAAATTCAGCTCTAAGTCAGACACATTGTTGTGCCTTTTCTGTGATACTGTGATGAATTCTTATCTTCCGTAAATTTGATTAATCTTGCCCAGGTTCAAAGGAGTCTCCCCTGGGAGGTAAGGCTATGACTCCTCTTCCTTTGCCTAATTGTAATGTAAATCTATGGCAGCTTCCTTGCAGCACATGAAAGATTACTGAATTCGGGGGTAACACTGCAAGCCTTCCTGTAGGAAGATGGAGCCCTACTTTTGCTCATGAGCATACAAAAGGGGTGGTAAGTTCAACCTTTTTCTAAAAAAGGGAAAGGGAAAACAAGCTACCATTTCAAACCAACCAAAGTTAAAGAAAAACTGCAAATCCAGGAGCAGGGGAGAAGAAGCAAGTGGGTTTTATGTACTCTAGATCAACCCCTGGGAGGGCCAAAGAGCTATGATGAGTAACTTTTCTCTCTCTAGTCTGTACCATACCTTCCCCTCACAGTCTAGACATGAGCCCCAGCCTGATTATGAGCAAACGTCCAAGTAGCAGGGGAGCTGACAAGAAGGGCTGGCACAGCGTCCTTGTCCTGGTCCATAAAGATGTCTTCGTACATGGTAATCAGAGAACAGCAAAGCACAACAAAACAGTAGCAAGTGTCTGGATGAGCTACCTGATCAGGAGACTCCAGAAGGAAAAGCAGTCCTAAGAGAGTTTTGCAAAACCTTCCAACAGTTAAGTGAGAAGTTAAAAGACTTATTCTCCAGCAGAAATAATTGGAAAAATCTGCCACATGCAGCAGTGTGATTGATCATCCAAATCCCAAGGAATTTTAAGTAATAGGTGAGATGAAAATCAAGTTTCAGCCATGTGGGGCTTTTAAAAGCAAGTGGCTTTTTAAAACCCTTGTACTGCACTGTTTCATGAACAATGTCTTTATGTATGTATCCAGCTGCTTTTCAAATATATTTTCCTCTTGATAAAGGTTGTGTTTGATGATGATTTTTCTTTTGGAAGACTCAGGTGCCAGGTTTTAGCCATACTTTTCTTTTTCTATTCAGTTTGTAGGCTATTGTGAGCCAGCCTGTCCTCACATACGTGCCACGCTAACAAAGGTAGGGGCTCTAACTATTCTAAAAAAAAACACCACAAAAAAACAACAATCTGCATCACTGCGTATGATATTTTACTAGAGCATTGCTTAAATATGGAAGCACAAAGTGTCTTCCACTCGCTGCTCGCCTAGTCTCAATATCTCTTTTCATGGTGTCAAATGCTAACAGAACATTTAAAAATCTCGGCTCCATCACTGCTTGGGGTCTGGTTTTTGTTTGGTTTTGTTGGGTTTTTTTAATTCTCAAATTGTTTGCAAGTGCTCACAGAGGGTTTTTTTGTTTAGTTTTGTTGCAGTTTGTTTTGGTTTTAAAAGTATCCCATCAATAGATTATCCAGTGCTAATCCCCGGCTGTACGGTGGCTAGTAGCCATCTCTTCTTGTAGGAAAGAGCTATTTATAACTGCAGATGCAACTGGTTTAAACTCAAAAAGAAATGTCACGAATATCCAGTGTGAGCAGCGCTGACTGGGACTCCTGGTACATCCTGAACTTGGTTATCTTCAGAGAAAGCCACCCGGCCACTGGCCGTGTTACACCCAGTACCAACAGCTTGGTTAATATTTTTGGCCAATGATCTCAACACAAGCAGTTATCTCTTTCTGGGAAAAAAAAGTATTTCGGCATCTGATTAACTTTACTAGCTACCCGGCCGTTTCAGGCATTCATTATCACTAACTCCTAAGGATAGTAACTTTGCTCGGCAGCAAGTTGTGAATTCGCACTATGCACTGCATCTACGACATGCAGAAGATCTATTTCTGTTGTATTTATTATAAAATAACTCTTCCCTTTTGAGGGGAGTCGTATTTTCTTTGCCTCTGTAAGTCCAGCAACAATTCGGACCGCAAATTGATAAAACAGATGGAAGAATAAGACTGAAAATGGTTTGATGAATGCGGTGAGAAGTGGATTAATTGCCGAATAGCGACTGTTTATATAAAATATTTCATCATGTAGACGTCTGAAGCTGCGCTAATGTAGAAGGGCAGTTTCTTTAAATGAATTTTTGTTCCATGTCAAAGAACTAAAGAAAGTGACCTTAGTGTTTAGCTGCGGCATCTGATCCATTAGTACGGATTTTGAAAAAAAAACAGATTACCCTCTATCGGTATTGATTAATCTCGTGGGGTTAATCGAGTTAGGGTGTGTCGACAACAGAAATAACAACCAAAAGGAGGTTTCGTTGTAGATTATCAATCGTGAAAAAGAGGCAGACACGAACCACTACCGCTTGGACATAAGGACATCGCACTTATCTGTGTCTCCAAATGGTTTCAGCCACGGAGTAACTAGCGTATTCAGAGGATCTAACATCTTAATTAAGAATTAATCTTAATAATCATTACAAAGTCAAATTGGACAAGAAGGGTCGTTGTGTGATGCAAACCCTTAATTCGTCGACTGCACCTTCCCGGGAGCTAAAACAGGGGAAAGCTGAGCCGTGAAGTGCTCCCGGCAGCTCCCCTCCAGCGCGTCCACTTCGAGAAGCTGCCCTTGCAACAGCCCCTGTAGTATTAATTTTCCAGGGCGAGGGCACCCCGTGAGACTGCTCCTTGACGCTAACTCGAGACCAGTTATAAAGCAGGAGGAGAGGTCAAGGGAAGCTCCCACATAAGAGCAGCCGTGAGAAAACCCCACAGAGCAGCCGAAGACACTTCCCAGGGCTCGGCGGGCGCCGGATCGGCCTCGGCACCTGCTGCCTCGGCACCGGCTCCCGGCTGCTCGGCACCCAGAGGCGCCCGGGACCTGTCCGTCCCCGCCGGGGGGAACCGCAACGGAGTCCTCTTGCCCCCAGCTCGAACGGGGGCCGGTACACACCTTCGTTAACTGCCCTCGGAGAGACAAACTGGAGGGGAGTGGGAATAGAGAAGAAAATCCCTTCTCCTCCAGCCGAAACACCAGACAAGTTGCCCATTGTCGCACGCACGGGTTAATTTCGTAATGGCACCATTGTGTTTTTAAGCTTTATTTTTAAAATAAAAACCATCGATGGAACGAAGGAAATACCTTTCGTTTGATACTGCCCAACAGTAACAGTATGGAAAAGGCATGCGTCTCAGCTTTATGAGAAGGTTTATTTCCAACGTTTGAATATAAAGCGTGTGAACTTGGAAACCAAAGAACGACAAAAACATTTGGAGATCTATAAGGGAAAAATAATCTTTCCTATAGGATAGCAGATATAATTGTCCTACGAGATTTCGGGGTGAGGGGGGAGCACAAGAAGTATGAGACAGCTTGTCTTGCTCTGCGAAAAAAAAACATCAGACGAGCCACAATTTAAGAACCAGTTAGCACAGAAAGTGTGAAAGAGAGCTTTGATATACTCTGCAGGGGAAAAAATAAATCAGAGCCACAATTTAAGAAAAGTGTTTACAATTTGATAATGTCAAAGATGGAAAGGAGTTAATCAGAGGGTTATCACAGGTGGCGAGTTCAAAGTGGTGGAACACATGGCGGCCTTCGCTTTTACAAGCTGTATTAAAAGTGATTCGGCTCACTGTACAGAGGCGGCCACGGAGCTGAGGCAGCCTCGGGGACACCGATCCCGTGGTCTGAGGCAGGGCATCAGCTCCCCCAATACAGGCACTAGATAATTCGGGAGGGAGGGAGGCAGAACACATCCCCGTTTCTTTGGTGGCTCCGTGTTAACTCCTCCGTCCTGACCAAAGAAAAAGCGCTGCAAGAACCAGGGAGGGCTGGCAGCGCCTTTTCAAGCTTTACCGACGTGCCGGCGGCCCACGAACAAGCGTGAGGGGAGCCCGGGCTGCCCCTCCGTGGGACAAGTCACGGCTGCCGCCGGCTGTGGCCAAACCGGACACCCCACCGACACGGCGAGGGCATAAATAACACCGGGACGGCCCCCATCAAGAGGAAAGTCGGGGGCCGGGAGAGAGGCTATACGTCCCCGTCCACCAGGCTGAAGTGTTTGCCGGGGCCGGGGAGGCAGAGGTAGGGGATGGCGCTGCCCGGATAAAGCAGGGGGAAAGGCAGCGGCAGCAAGCAACGGCTGAGCAAGGGGCTGTCCTTGTAAAGGGCCGGGAAGGAGAGAGCCGCCGCCGCGGCGGGGGGCGGCGGCTCCATCGGGGGCTCCGTCGGGCTCGGGCCCTCGGGCTCGGCCGACATCTGTCTCTTGAGCTTGTTGCGGCGGTTCTGGAACCAGATCTTCACCTGGGTCTCGGTGAGATGCAGCGCAGCCGCCAGCCCGGCCCGTTCCGAGCTGCTCAGGTAGCGCTTCACGTCGAAGGTGGACTCCAACTGAAAAACTTGGCTCTTGGAAAAGATGGTCCGCGTCTTCTTCCTGCCGCCCGTCGCCGGCGACCTGCCGCGCTCCCCGCCGCAGCCCACGGCATCCCGCGGTGGCGGCTGCGGGGCCCCTCGCATCCCCTCCGTAGAGAGCGGGGAGCCCAATCCACCGCCACCCTCCACCTCCGGGCTGAGGCCGCGGTTTGTCCCCTCGTCCCCGAGCCGGCGGGGCTCGCTGCCTGCAACGGCAAAGCACAGCATCAGCTCCCGCCTCCGCCCGCACCCGCGCCCCGCATGCACGGCCCGGCTGAAAGCTGGGGAGAGGGGATGGAGCCGAAGGGTGAGGTGGGACAGGGAAGGGAGGGGGTTGCCGAGAGCTGGGTCCCGTCTCCCCCTTTAAAGGGGAGAGGAAGGCTTAGGAGCATTCAGTAAGGATCTAAAGAAATCTCTCTGCCAGCTGCATGCAAAGTCAGGGGCTCCTGGACACGGCACAAACAGCCAAGGAGGCCGGGAGCGGGTAAAACACCCTGGAAAAGTCCCTGGGAGCAGGTTGGTGCGTGTGCGTGTGCCGGTGCCATCTCCGCTTGTCCGACCGCAGAGCCCCGGTTCCTCCTCCGGCAACTGCGTGAACGCAGAGGTTGCGTGTGTGTGAGTGCGTGTGGCTGCGTGTACGCGGTGCCAGCCCGACGTGTGAGACAGCCTGCGGCGGGATGCCGGTTCTGTACCCGAGCTGCTGGAGCCTTTACTGGAGTCTTGCTCCGCAGGCCCCTCTTCTTCCTCCTCCTCCGGCAGCGCGCAGCGCGCTCTGCCGTTCTCCCGGGCCGGGCAGCGGGGTCCGACCTGCAGAATACTGTCGATGCTGAAGGCCGGCGGAGCGGCCGGGACCGGCGGTGGGGCTGGGCGGCTGCCCCCGAGCTGCACCATGGCGTGCCGAGCCGCAGCCAAGCCGTGCCGAGCCGTGCCGCAGAACTGGCTGCGGCGGGAGGGCGGCAGCGGCAGCCGGGGAGGAGGGAAGGCTGAGGCGGCGGAAGGGAGGAGGGGTCGGGGCGACGGAGGGAGGGGATGGAGCTAGAGGCAGCCAAAGGGCTGAGGACAGGGGAGTGGTGCAGGGGAGGGAGACGGGGAGGGCGTGTGGCAGGGAAGAAAGGGAGCGAAGAGGGCAAAGCAGAAGAAGCTGGAGGGAAGCGGAAAGGGAGGGATGAGGGGAGCAAGCCCAGGTGCCTCTTTCCTCTCCTCCATAGGGCAGCCAGAGCAGAGCAGGTCAGGGCTGGCTGCCCTCCTGTCAGGACCGTCACTGTTGGGGTGGAGGGAAGGCAGAGTAAGGCCCAAGAGGGCCCACGGGAAAGGCGAGGAGGAGGTGGGATGGCAAGATGGAGATTTCTGAATTGAAGCAGGGTGGAGGGAGAGGACTGGCAATGAGAGCAAAGATGGGGTGGGGTGCGGCAAGGAAAAGCAGTGGTGGCAGTGAGAGAGGGAAAGTGAGAAAAGGGAAGCTGGGAGCCGGCGAATCCCTTCCGTGTTGTTTGTACAGCACCTGCACGACCCCGGACAATCTGCTGGGGGCATTTGCTGCAGATTATGATGCCATCGTAAAGAGGTGGGAGGCCCTTGGGAAGGGCAATTCACACAGCCCGAGTCCCTTCCCTGTGGTTCTTCCACCTGCAGACCTTCAGCCAATCATGCAGAGTTTCCCTGGGGAGAAAGGAATCCCTTTTCCTTCCAAGAAGCCCCGTGATGTCAGGCCACCCTGAAATCCACACACATACACACGCCCGTGGCTCTACAGAGCTCTGTAGCTTTCAAGAGCTAAAAGTTGTATGAGACCTCGCACTTAGTACGGGATGGTGAGCTGGAGGGTTGCACCTTGCGGGATATCTTTTGGGTATGAATGAGGGTTCGCCTGCGGGACCTGGGGAAAGATCGATCTGTTTCCCCGTATAATAAAGAATTTTTTTGTCCCCACCACCTACAAGCACTGCAACTTTTTAAAACCCGTTTGCATGACTCAAGATCCAGCGACTCTAGAGTTACCATTCGTTCTGGATCGCAGAGAACCCCTTCCCTCCCTGCAACCATGTGTAAAGACAAGAAAATGTTTCCAACCGGCTTTTAAGAGCCCTTTTAGTCCTATTTTCGAGGTTTCCACTACGAAAACTGCTGAGGGCAAGCGAGAAGCCCTTGAAAAACAGTTGACAATGGAAGTGCTGACAGTCTCTTAAATATTGTGATGCCAGAGATTCTGCGAGCTAAAATCAGGGCATCTTAAGGCGTTAATCTTTAATGCGCTGGTACTTGAGAGAACGGGTTTCAGCTCTTTTTCATGAAATTTGTTTCACTTTATAGGTGCATTCAGATTTTAGTACAGCCATCTTCTGAAGAGTTGTACGGTTTCCACTAGGAGGAATATATATATGTATGTCTTCCATCAACACGATTATTGGCCAAATGCCTGAACTTGTTGCAATCTCCTGTACTGGTGGTTCTGATGGAGCGAAAAGTCCCTTTAGAAGGAGCGACAGGGCGAGGGAAGGGACGGGGAACAGTGGTACCAAATGCAAAGAAGCAGCTGAAAAGATGAGTTAGGAAATTCCCTGTGAGTTGGTATAATTTGGAGCACTTGAGTGACAGGCGGGAACAGTCTTTGCCTTGCGCTCCTGTCTCGGCCTCCTCTCCTGCTGTTTGTGAGCAGGGCACATCCCAGGTGCTCACATCTGTTCTTGCTGCAAACCATTTCCCTTTTAGTCTAGCAGAAATCCATCTTTAAAAAAAATCAAACGCATTGACTCAGTGTGTTTTCCTAGAAGACACTTTCTTGGAAGAAAAAGAAAACTTGAAGAATGCAGAAAATAAGAAGGAAATTGAAGAAGGAGACATAAGTTTCAAAGCCCAATTTTTTCATCACAGACTCCTCCACACCCTCAACAGTCCGAGCCCAGCACTAGGAGACTCCATTCTCTACAGTCAGCCGGGAAAGGCTGTTCTCTTTTCCTAGCCCCATTTGGCCGCTGTACAAATCCGGGTTTGTGTTCCCTGACAAAACCCTGCCCAGCGAGGGAACACACTACAGTCCGGGTCTCCCCAGGCACTGGGGCAAGGTAGAATCAATTCAGTTTCAACAAAAGTAGCCTCCGGGGTACCCCCTGCAGCAAGTCCTACAAGCCAGACCCGTACCGGGCTCCTCATGCCCTCTCCTAGTGTCCTTCCTTATCTTCAGGGAAGGTTTAAGGACTTGGCTTCGTATGTCTATTTGACAGCCTGATCCCAGTGTATCCTGCAACACACAACCAACCGCCTACAAAATGCACCCCTACGGAGGGTGTCTCCCCTCTTGGGTCTGCTTCAGACCCCAGGCAACCCCTCCGAGATGCATTTGTCCCAAAACTCGTGGGGAGTGACGGCGTCCGACGGGGTGGGAGACCTTGGCAGAAGCCAGAGGCTTTGCCAGGTGGATGGTTCATCCCATCTCTGCCAAGGGTGGCTTTGCCTGGGCTCTCCTAGCACTGGTTGAGCCAGAAAAGGCGGTCTCGCTGCCCGAGAGGGGTCCCCCCAGCAGCACTGCTCCGCACGATCGCTGTTCACTCCCCAAGTGGACATTCCGAAACTCTGTCGGTTAAAAGTAACTACTTTCCTTACAATGGGTAGGCATTTCCTGACACTGGTACTTTTTAATCCCGCGTTTCATTTGTATTTTATCCGGGTGGAATCTTGTCGCCTGGGACATGCCACGACATGGAGGCCGGCACCGCAGAGCAGCAGCGCAGGAAGAGCGACCCTTTTTCTCTGAATAATGTATTCCTGTATTAGAAGCTAATATCATGTTGAGTGGAAACCTTTTACCTAGGAAAAGCTTTTTACCAGAAATTACCCAGCAGACATATCTTCATTTCCATTTTAGCTCAAAGCACAGAAAGTTTCCAAATCTAAATCTGATGGAAATGAAATCTGATTAGATTCCCCAGAAAAGCCAAAGAGTCCGGGCTCGCTTGGCTTACGGAACCGAGCTTGGTTTGTCCCTCTATGTACTCGAGGGTAACATGGGCCCTCTCCGGATCTCACACCCCTTTGCAAACAAGACCCCGGTCTTCGCGCCTTCCTCTCGGCTCTCCCGGTGGGCGGGTCCAGAACAGAAACGCTGTCTGAAAAGATCATAAAAATAATCAGATGGCTTTGGTCCCCGAAACAAACCTGATTTGGGAGTTCGGCATTAGCTGGATATAGCCAATTGCTATGGTGTGTTCCCCTGCTGGCTGTCATCCCCTCCTGGCGCCGGTCAGGACAGCGGGGACATCCGTTTCATAGGGAGGAAAGCAGCTCTCTCTCTGGCCCGGTGGAAGGCAGCTGCAAATGTTACACACAAGCAGGCTTTCCAGGGAGTTGGGGGCGCTAAGCTGAACCCTTCCACCCAGAGGTGCGGGACAGAGCCTCTGAGGTGACCCCAGGACAGAGCGTCCCTGCCCGAACCCTTCTGTTCCCCTCTGAGGGCAGGTCAAAGTCCTCGGCCAAATCGCCTCCATGTAACTCCTGCGCTCGACACCAGAGGCTTGCGGGGAAAATCCTAGAGGGGATTTGCGAACAAAGTTACTAATTCTCGGCTGTTCAGTAGATGTGAGTTGCTAAAGGGAAAGGAGAGGAGAAGAGAGGAGACGAAAGAAAGAAAAAAAAAAGAAGAAAAAAAAACGGAAAAAGAAAAGACAAGAAAAGACAAGAAAAGACAAGAAAAGAGGAAAAATTTTAGTTACACATCTAGAGTTCCATTAATATTTTCTTTTTTTTTTTTACATTCCTGTATCTCACAACATAGAAATGATAACGTAGGATCCTTAAGAACAGTTGAGAAACTCAAGGTAGGTAAATGAAACATTAAGACACCCGCCATAAAGTTATATTAATCGGCAATGGGACGGGAAATGTAAGAGAATTGCCTGGATCTTATTTGAGGTTGAGAGCACTAAATGCTGCGAGCCCGCCGAAGCCTGGAGCGAGTCTCCCCCGATCGATGGTGAGAGCGGGGCGGGAGCAGAGCCAGGCTGCCCCAAGGTAATGTAGCATAAGAGAAAGGGGGGAGGAATCGATCCAAATAAATTGTTCAACAGTGGAGCCAGTGCGCACCTATGAGATTTATCAAGTATTGATTTGCATGAATATTTTAGACCCATGTCTACGAGAAAAGTTATAGGCCAGCTTAAGCCGGTGAGCAATATACCATTTGCAAAGTCGCCATTTAACAAGGTGCTTTGCAGCATATCGATCGTTTTCATTTAAAGTGTAATTAATAATAACATTTTAAGGCATCTACACCAGGAATTTATTCCAGACGTTCAGTTCGGACCCGAATTTGATTTTCGTTTGCTTTGCTTAAAATGAAAAGAAAATAAACCTTTTCACTAATTATTTTTAATAGCGTCCAATAAACACAAGTTATCTTTGTGAGCAGTCTGGCAAGGCTTTCCTTTGCCTCGCCTCTGGAGTGCCATCTAGCTAAGCTGTTGTAGCAACATTCATTAAATAAATGTCAACAGACAAGGATTTATGTTGCATAATAATATTACAGCTGTACTGTAACTGGATTTATTTTAAAGCTATTCTGAGGTTGCTTTGATCTATAAAGCAGCAACGTATGTCTCTATATGTCGCAAACAGCCTTTGTGAAACTACTTTGAGTTTTACAGTCCGCCAACATTTTTCTTCTAGCGTTCTGTGTGCAGAGGGATCACAATGTGTGATTCTTATTTCTTTGATTTGTTTAATAAAGAATATACACGGAGAATAAAACTGCCAAGAATCTGTTGTCCTGATTTGAGGAGGGGGCTTGGGATTTAGCGGGGTTTTTTGCCTGTTGAAATTGTCAGTGCACATACATCCGGGACTATGGCTGCTGCTTGGCTATTCCTCTGCATCCTGCAGAAATTTCTTGCTAGCAGATACAAGGAAAAGTGCCATTAAAAAAGCTACGAGGTAAAGAAACCTGAGGTGTATATGCTCCTACTTTCAGCACATACTTTTAATAAGCCACCACAAAGCACTTTCTGCAGGTACAGTATAAGGCGTAAGTAAACACTTTTTCTTAGATGAATTCATGTCTTGCACCTTTTAATATTTTACTATGATCATAAGTTACAAGTACAGTGTATGAAAAAAAAATCTGTTTATTGATATAATCAGCACGTCTTTAAAAAACAAACTAATGTCAAAACACATTTTAAAAATCCGATTGATCATTGAGCCCTGCCAGTTCCTTAACTCCAAGAAAAGAATATTTAGTAGAATCAGAAGTATTATAATCTCATATGTTACTCCAAAGAAAAGGCATGTGGAGAGTGGCAGGCATGTTAAGTTTCGCGTTGCATTACAATCTACTCTGATATGACTGTAGTGAGTCAGGATTTTGTTCCAGTAGGTAACGCTGGGGGATCTGGGGAGCTGGATATGACTTGGGAAACGCTCTGCCAGCTTTCTCCCAGGGGCAGCCAGGCTCTCAAGGGTATTGAGTCAAGGGGCTGAGCCCCGAGAAAAATATCTCCCCGGGTCCTCTACTCTGCACATAGAAAGGCTGAAGCCCGCCCGGGGCCCTGGCACCCCCAGCCCCGCGTCCCAGTCCTTACACCACTCAGGGCCGGGCTGCATAAGGACTAGCCTCGAAGGCTGGTGTTTGAAGGATATGCAAAGAAAAGAGCTGGCGAAGATCTCCCGGGGTGAGACGAGGGATTTCATAGCAGTTGGGAAAATAAAAGTAAGTAAAGCCCCCAAAACAGCAACTTCCAGAAACGCGGCTCAAATCGAAACGAGCATCCCGGCAAGTTAGTACTTTTCTCAGGAACCCGGCATATCTAGATGTATTTCATTCTCGAGTGCTTCTGAGGCTTCCAGCACCCTGATTTAGCTGCGCAGACTGATGTATGTAGCCGCGTTTCAGGCCAAAGCGGAAAAAAAGGAAAAAAAAAAGGGGGGGAAAAAAAAGGGGGGGGGGAGGAGGTGTTGGAGAGGTTGTAATCCGCCACTGTTCCTTCTGCTCAGGTTTCGTATCAAAGCTGAAGCTCCACCGCATCTCGACGATCTATTTCAAACCAAAAAACGGTGAGATTGGTCCAAATACAATGTCAAGCGTAGGAAACAGCAAGGATTAGACGCTCTTCTTTCACTGGAGGCAGGTCCGCCTGCACGTACCCTGGTAGATCCAGCACCCGGTTCTCCCTGCGGGGACACAGAGTGCTCCGAGCTGGTCGCTTCAGTTACACCTGATTATGCTCTAAAACGCAGGATCAAAGCTTGACCTTCCACCAAAGCTGTGTTTTATAAGGTCATTTCCCCCTTAATATTTGGAAAATGAAATTCAAACCTTTATAAACAGTGATAGATCCGATATTCATTTTAGCAGTGGGTAGAGAGGGGGAAAAGAAACAACTATTAAAGGAAAAAAAATAGAGTGGCATGCATAATACTTCATATAGTATCACATTACAGGTTAGCTTGCATAACTAGCCGTACAGCTCCCCAGTCTATCCCCACTTGATTATTTTTCTTTCCTTCCTTTTTAATTACCAGCACGAACTATTAATCGATTACACAAACCGTTAAGAGACGGAAGAACTGAGATGCGCTTTCTTCAGCCTCCTCAGGAGACGGAAATGTGGCAAACCCACTGGTAAAAATGCAGTATGTTGAATTATATGTGTATATACGTTTTAACCGTGTATTTTAGCCGACCGTTTGAAAGGGAAATATAAACTAAAACAAAGAAATCTAATCCTCACAGCTCGGGCTTCATCGAATTCCTTCCAACAATTTTCCTTCAAGTTGTTTCAAATCAAAAAGCCTCCAGCGGGAAGAAGCAGGGGGCACCAGCACATGCTTGGGTATCGATCGGGTGAAAATCAGAGTAACAATGGAAAGGGGGGATGTTCTTTACGGATTAAGTGGCTAAAACAAAGGGCCCTGGAGAAGCTGCTGGGGGCAGATCCGCTGAGTCCCCGCTCTGCACGAAGCGCAGCCGGGGCACCGGGGACAAGGAAAGGTCTCCCGGCAGGAGCGCTGGCCCGGGGCAGCGGAGGACCTGAGGAAGGTCGCTTAGAGGGGAGAAAAGCGAGCTTCGCAGTCCCTGGGGCCCCGGCCGATAGCTACATTCGTCTCAGGCTCGGCAGCTCTGCGGAAAGCGGGGAGGAAGAGTTTGGGGGAGCTGCGGGCCCCACGGAAAACGCCGGTCGGTGTCAGCCGGGACCGAGGCGGTGGGGAGGGCTTGACCACTGCTACGGGGCTGCACTTTCTTTGGATGCGCAGCAGGGAGAGCCCCGTGGAGCCGCTCCCTGTTCATGGCGTGGTCCTCATAGTCGTTTCTGTTCCCTCCGGCTGCTGCGAGTGGCTCCGAGTTTATTCCAAAAGTAAGTTTATTGCACGTTAAAAAAAAAAAAATAGAAAATCAAAAAGCAGAAAATCGAGAAAGGTGTGAGTGGGAAATGAAAATTCCGGGGGAATGGGGGTGGAGCTGGGAGCCGGGGGAGGGGGCGATGGGTACAGGTGGGAGCTCAGACGAGTCCTGTCATCTGCGATCGTAGGAACGGAATGGAGGCGGCGGGGAAGGTGCCCAGGGGGTAGCTGACGCCGCTAGAGAAGCCCACCAAGGGGGGCGACATATGGGGCAGGGGGAAGCCCAAGGCGCTCGCCGGCGAGTTCTCGTGGTACAAAATGGGGACCCGCACTATCCTTTGGGCGGCGTGGGACAGGTTGGCCGCCTCCAGGTCGGCGGCCAGTTGCCGCTTCCACTTGTTACGGCGGTTCTGGAACCAGATCTTCACCTGGGTCTCGGTGAGGTGCAGCGAGGCTGCCAGCCCGGCCCGTTCCGAGCTGCTCAGGTAGCGCTTAACGTCGAAGGTGGACTCCAGCTGGAAGACCTGGCTGCGGCTGAACACCGTGCGCGTCTTCTTCTTGCGGCCGGCGGCGCGTTGCTCCGGCTCTCCCGGCTCCTCTCCGCGCTCCTCCTCCTCCTCTTCGCGGCCGCTCAGGCCTGAGCGTCCTCCCGCTGGGCCCCGCACCGCCGCCCGTCCGCCGCTGCTCTCCCGCTCTGCCGGCTCCTCGGGCAGCTCGGGCGAGTCCCGGTCGCTGGCTGCGAAGAGAGGCAGAGGGTGGGAGGTGGAGCTGCTGCTCCGGGCAAGGGGAGGAGAGGGAGAGCATCGCCCGGCCCTTGCCCCGCTCACCGGCGCCGCTGTGGAGAGAGCGGGGCCGGGGCCGGCCCGCCGGCAATGGCTCCTGCCGCTGCTGCTTCTCCTGGGATAACCCGCCTAGCGTTTGTGTAGACACACAAGCTTATATACTTATATAAAAACACCTAGATGGTGTTTCATGTATGTATACATACCCTCAGCTATGTACACACTCACGTATGTGCGTATGTGTAGACACAGCAAAGTGTATGCATGTATTTTCACGCGGATATGTGTACCTTTTTTCTACACAAAATATACAAGTGTGCATGTGTATGTATACACACACGTATATATTCGGAGATGTACATACACACATTATCTAAATAGAAGTATGTACTTTTTATATCTGTATGTACACATATGACTACACTTGAGCTTTAATTTATATACACACGTATATATTTACACACATACGGCACAAATATATTCACGCACATGTGTACACACATATACTTACACGTACATACACATAAGTGTATTGCTGTGTGTAGAAGTGGTAAGTATAGGAGTGCATGTGTGTATATAAAGAGAGGTTAAAAAGAAGTATTTTCCCTTCACGTTATTCTGAACTTGATAAACCAAACGATCGGGTCAGCTACTCTGTTATCGGGACGTTGCCTCCCAGCATGTCACCGAGGAATTTCCAACATTGCTCTCTCCATTTGCAGTTTCAAAGGAGATAAAAAATCCTATTCTTTCTAGAGCAAGAGAAAAGCATAACAGAAAAAAAAAGGCAAAAAGTTAAGGCAATTTTTTCTAGAATAGATTTCTGTTTCTAAATGTAGTTTTGAGAGAAATTAAAAATATTAATAAACCTATATCTGTGAAAACAAACTCAGAGGATTACTATTCGTGCCTCTTTTCCTTACTGAGCAATCGTGAGAACTCTAAAGGCTCGTGCAGGATCATAGAGACGAGTGGAAAGGCAATATTTTTTCTATCAGGATAAAAATAACCAACCGATGGCAGCCCATAAACTTTTTCAGATGTTAGTTTTGCCTCCCGAACCCAGGTTCTTCCTCCAGCTCCCTTTCCAGCGGGGTTCCCGCAGCCTGCCCCTGCCCCAGCTGCGCTGCTGGAGGAGGGCAGCGTAGGGCTCAGCCCGACGGCTCCCCTGGCTGCCCAAATTCCTGCTTCCCATCTTTTTGGCATGATGGGGTGCCAAAAAAATATATATATATATATACACATACATATATACATATATATATAAAAACAAAACAGACACCTCTCTTAAAAAACAAGAAAGAAAAAGAGATGGAGGAGAGGAAAAAGAAAAAAAAAACCCTGAGCCAGCACACGACCCCTGTTTACATTTTGGGCGGCGAGGCGGAGGCTCCAGGTGCCGCACACACAAGGAGCGTTTCCGGAGATTTGCCCGCAGAGCCAGGGCGAGGGCTGCGGGCTCTCCACGCGTCCCACTCAGCGTCTGCCTGCGAGGGGGGGGGGTGTGGAGTGTGCAACGGGACTGGACACCCCGGGGGAGCAGAGACATCCCCTCCCCATCCCCAGCCGGGCCTGGCCATCAAGGATAGGAAAAGGCGGCTTACTGTCGGGGCTGGCGCAGCCCAGGAAAGCGGCGTGCGCTCGGCGGTACCAGCCGACGGCGGCGTCACGGAGGGGGCAGCCCGGGGCGCCGAGGCGGAGCGGCGAGCGCGGCCCGCAGCGCGGAGCCCCGCGGGGACCACCGCCCGCAGCCGCCCGCCGAGCCCCGCGGCCCGCCGCGCTCTCGGTGCCCAGCAGGTCCTCGATGAAGAAGGACGAGACGCGGGCGGAGGTGGAGCCGGCGTTTTCCGTGGCTTCGTCCGGCATGGTCGGAGAGGAGTGCGGGACGGGGGGGTCCCGGCTCAGCCGGCGGCTGGCTCCTCGTCGCGCCGCTGCCCAGCAGCCGCCTCCCGCCTCTGCCTAGCCCCGTGGATGCTCTCCTGGTATAAAAGGGTTTTTTTCCGGAGTAATCATTTCAGATCGCGGTTTGCCATCATTTCCTGCAAGCTAGGATGGGAGGGGGGAGGGGGAGGAGGGGAAGGGAACGGGGAAGGAAAAAAAACCTAGCCCGACAACCCATCGGAGGCGCCAGATTCTGCGCGAAAACGCTAATAACGAAATAAAAATGTCACGCGAGTTAAACGCTGGGCGCGAGAGGGGGAATCCTGGGATGGGCGGAGCGCCGCGGCCAAGGAGTTGGGGGGGGGGCGTCCGCGGGGGATGCGCGGAGCGCGGCGAGACCGATGCGTGTGAGTGTGCATGTGCGGTGCGGAAGGTGCGCGCGCCACCGTGGGGCTGTCACTCACGAACTCCTTATTTAGGTCAATTAGGGAGCAAATCCCGGAGCCGGGGGGGGGGGGGCGGCAGTGTTTGGTGGGGGGTGTAAAGGGCGGGCTTGGCCGCTCCACATTCTGGCTCTTCCATTGGCTGTAGAAGGCTCAGCGCGCAGCCCAGCTAGCCAATCCGCGCCGCGGACACCGCCGTTATATTAATATAATTAATAATAATGATCGCCCCCGCCACCCCCCGCCGAGCGCTTCCATGTTCGCGTCGGTGGCGATGGACGGGGGAGATGCGCCCCCCGCCGCTCGCAGAACCCGGCAGCCGCCGCTGCGGAGCGGTGAGGCTCCCCCCCGCCCAGAGACCCCGGGTTGGGGCTCTTGAACCTGGAGGGGTAGATCGACGGATCCCCGTGAGGAGGAGTATCCGCTGCCGCGGACTGTCCCGCCTGTGGAGGGGAGGGTGTCGGGTCCAGGAGGGCGGGGGGGCTCTCGGCTACAGAGCGTCCCAGGGGCCAGTTGGTGATATTTAACCTTCTACTTTATATATATATATATGTATTTTTGTATATATGCGTATATTATGCCTGTATAGTTTATTCGGAAAGAGCCAACCCCGCCCAGCGAAGCCGGGTCCGTCCACGAAGCCCGGGCAGGAGGCAGCGGCGCTGCGCTGTCTGCTCCAACACGGAGCCCAAGGTTTCTGGCGTTTCCCCTCCGAACCCCCACACTTTTTTTATTATTATTTCTGCTGTAATTCTACCTCATGGAAAGCCAAAACCAGCCCTTTGTGTGCCCCCTTTTCCGGAGACTTCTGCATCCGCCCGCCTCGACACAGGGACCCCCCGCAATCCCACAAATATCCCCCCCTCGCTGCAGGGCTCTGGGGCAGGAGGGTTTTCCTCTGACTTTTTCCTTCGGACCAGGCAAGCCAGGTTTGTAAAGGGACGAGTGGATCCAGAGTGCATGCCGGAGACCCGTAGAGATTTGGGTGAGTACACAGATATCATTGCGATGCTCATTTGAAGGTCAGTTTTTTCCTCCCGCCCTGCTCTTCCCCCTCTGCCGGGATACCCCTACCTGTTCCCCTTTACGGAACTCCTGAGAAGCACCATTTTCCCAAGCCCCACCTCCCCTTCCCCTCTGGAGCGAGGGCACCGGTTGCTGCCCATCGGGAGTGTCCGGTGGGGCCAGGTTGCAGTCTGGTGCGGAGGCGGTGCCTCCGGTGCGGAGTGGTTATTTCCTTTACCGAGTGGCAGTGGGGACCTCTGAGGCCAGGGCCTATTTAGGAAAGGGAGGAAAAAATTTGGAAAGAAATAAATTTTAAATATATATATGTAAATAAATAAATAAATAGGGGAAAAAGGAATAATGCCACTTCCAAAGACGCCAGAAAGGTGTAAACAGAGCTCTGAAAGGGACTCTGGAAAAACAGGAGTATAGGGCGGCATGCTTTAGCTTTCGGTCTCACCTGGGAAGAGCCATGCAGTAATCCGGTGAGTTGTAAACAGAGCAGACGGGCATTCGTCACTTGTTGCATAGGAGCGGTGTTAACAAACATCGCTTTCATGATCTGCGCACTTTGGTGAGTGTTGCTGGGTAGGAAATACGAGTTTGACCGAGATGTCTTCAGCATCCATAAACCATCAACTCTGTTTGACTGGCAGAGTCAGAAAATAGATACAGGCTTTCCTGAATAAACAGAAAAACGTGGACACTGGTTACTTCCATACATTCTATATGCAATTCGCAAGTGATATACGTGTATTCTGTACCCATGTTTTATAAAGCGTTCTTACAGAGTGGGCATGCAACTTATGTTATATTTTTTGCTTTCCACTTAGAAATAGTATAATAAAATCAATTAAAATAAATTTGTTCTTGTTTTTCTCAGTATTTCTTTAGAATAACATATAACTGGGTGCAGTAATGCAGAACAGTGATTGTGCAAAGTCATGTACACTCAGACATATTCCTGAAACGCCAAATAAGGATAATTCTATACCTGCAAACACATGTACGTACGTGTTTGCGTGTACGGGGTATTGTTTTAAGCTTGTAGCTATGTTTACGTACCTTCTACATTGCTATAGTGACTTGACTACTAACACTTCGTGCTTATTACTCTCTGTGAGGAGGAGGAGGAGGAACAGGGCGTGTGTTTACTGGACGTCTCCCCGCCGCCACCCGGCAGTGCTCCGTGTAGGGAGCAGAAAAAGCAGCTGGGGACAGTATTTTCGTAATATAATGCCAGAAATACACCCCTGGCCCGTGTCCTAACTCCTTTCGGTGTCACTTACCCTGAAGTAAGGCGGAGCGGGCGAGTCCCTTGCGCCGAGGGCATCTCCAACACCCCCGGGCATCCCCAGCCGGGCCTGGGCTGTCCCAGGAGGACCTCTCCTTCCCCCACCGCCTTCTTTCCCACAGACACCTCTTCGCGGCACGGGAAACCTCTGCTTTTTGCAGGCAGGTGAATGAAGAGGCGTTCGATGGGCATCCAGCTCCTGCCTGCCTCCGCGGGTCAGAAAGGAGCAACGGTGGCTTTGACACCAGATTTAGACTATGAGTTGCGCGTCCCTTATTTTTTCCCTTCTCAGGCTCTGTTTCTTTCCCGGATATATGTTTTTATCCGAAGCTTTATAGACACCTCTAGCTCTGATCAGCTCTGGGAGGGGCTGGAGCTCCGGGGAGCTGCTGATGGCGTCTTTCCCGCCGAGCAGCTCCGGCTCCCAGACTGTGTCTACTACTGGCCTGGGATGCCAGTGGGATAGCCCCCTCACCACCACCGAAGGCTCTCGAGTGGCTCGGTGAAGGTGCAAGGCACGGGATGGGCCGGGGCTGGCTCCGGAGGGAATCAGCAGATTGAGGGCCGAAACGGTGTCCGTGGGTGTGACAAGAACCTCCAGAATGTGACAAGAGCCGCAGTGAAGCCGGGCCGGCCGCTCCCGCCGCTGCCTTCACGCCTCTCGCAAGGAGCGGGCCCGCCTGCAATGTGAATGCAATTACCGTGCTGGTGTTTGATGTCTCCCCTGGCTCCCCCCTCACCAGCACTGCCTCGATGTTGTCGTAAACTGGAAGCGAAATGAAAGACAGGCTGGAGCGCTCTCTGCCTAACCTCTGCTCCTCAGCACCGACGGGCCCGCAGGCGCTGGGAGCCGGATCTCTGCGGGACGCGTTTAACCCCTCTTGCAATGGGCAGCGGGGGGGGCTCTGGGCAGGGGAATCACCTCTCGCGTCTCCACAAGGAAACAACGGTCCTGAGCAGATCACTCAGTTCCTGTCACCCTCCTAACAGATCCGACGGCAGCGCTGCGGGTAAGGAAATTCTTGACCGTCATCTGCCACTGGTTGAGACATTGAGATACATAGATATGTATGTATATACATGTAAATAAAACCAAATTTTCAGCCAGGTTCGGTTTAGTTATAAAAATAAAGCAAGTAAAGACCATACTCTCATCTTCAGTAAACAGTCCGGAGCCAGATGAAAGGCAGATGCAAAGCAGCGTTTGCGTTTTGGGTCCAAGGCTCCTTCAGAGGAGCAGAGGTGGCGGTGGGGCTGTTTGGTACCTACTGAAAAAACGAACATAAAAAATCAGCAATAAGATGTTTCACCGCCTCTAAACCTCTGTGTAACATCTTCCTTCTCCCCGCTCGGAGGGCTGGGTGAAGGGGCCCGCTCAGCTCCCGAAGCAGTCGCTCAAACCTCTCCCTCCGGGGCTCCTCTCATCCCTGCATGGAACTTGCCAACTCTCTGCTCGGGGTCTGCTGCCCTCAGAAAGTCGCGGAGCAGGACCCGGGGTAGGGGGGACACATCCCCCCTGGGACAGGAGGAGGGAACGTTTCAGAGGGGTGTTCCGCACAGTCCCCCCTTCCAGCCTCGGTGAGGGTCTTTCCGTATCTCACGAGGGTACCCCATTTTGGGTGGCCTTTCCAGAAGGGAACCCGCAAAGGACTAGGGCAACACGGCAGTAGGAACCGCTGGTTTTCTGCAGGTAGAAAACCCTAAGTCCCTTCAAATATGGGTTAGATAGCACTTGAATGCAGCAAAACTTTGTGTAATTAATTTCTAAATTTGCAGTGCATTTTGAGGGGTCCTCAAGGATGGTGAAACAGAAACTGATAACTACGGTTTGGGGTTGTTTGTGCTCTTTCCCCAGCAAATTGTCTCTATAAACACAACCCCACTCTATTCTTCACCACCAGTGATACTGACAGAGAACTGTTTTCCCTTTCAAGGACCCTGCACGCTGATTCCCATAGATGTATTCATTATTCACAGGTAGTCACTAAGTGCTTTGGATGGAAACTTCAGCCTATAGGGTGTCCTGACTGTCCGTGATGCTTATTTATTGCTCGTTATACATGTCATACAATTGGGAGCATGAATCGTACCCTTAAGTGCTGTTTCCTTGCTAAGTGAGGAGTATTTAAACCCATGAAACTGAGGGATATCCTTGGGTACGTGAATATATGAATGAATTAAACACTTTGAGAAAGATTCTGGGGGATACCTACTCCAAAGTGTTAAAATTCCAGAGCCTTTTGAGAAATATTTATTAA